ATATCCCCAATAGAACCCTAATATAACCCCTTTAAAGGGACCTAGGGTTTCCATTTTCTTTTCCATTATCCCAATATAACGAGCAGAAAGGATCTTGAACAACAACTAGGGATGCCGCTGTTGAAGCTTAGGCAGGTCGGTAAAATTCCCTTAGGCCGTGAATCCGCGAATCAGAAGCATGAGGCGCTGAATGTTCAGGGTTCAGGGTTTTAGGGTTTAGGGTTTAGGGTTGAGGTTTGCAAGGAAGTTCTAGAGGATTCTTTTCTCTGCAGGGTTTAGGGTTTAGGGTTCGTTCCTGTTCATATCCTTTGGGTTCAAAGTATTTACATGGGAGTTCCCAATAGTCCTGGGATATCTTACATACCCCACATATGTTGATACCTGCCGTAGGGACCCCGGACGGGAACGGCTCATTTAGGCGACGTTAAGCGGTTTGAGAAGAGCCCTAAACCATAAACCCTAAACCCTAAACCGAGTCCTTTGCAATGCCCGAGGAGCGCTACAGACCGGGACGCTTCGATCTAGTTGGCAACAGCCACCAGCTTCTCGTCGATCTGGGTTCTCAGAGCACAGGTTTGAGGATTGAGGATTATAGGGTTTATGGTTTAGGGTTTATTGCCTTTGGATTGAGTTCTTGGGATCACATTACCCAAAAGTTCTGGCTGCACACCTGTTGGTTCCTTCCATTTCTTTTTAAGCTTACTGGTGTTTAGTAGGGAATAAGGGAATGCATTGACCAGGGATTGTATTCCCGTATTCCCTACAAACCCTACAAGATCCACATGACAGCCGTTGAGTCCTTGTTCTGAGGGTTGGGGAACCCACCTACTACCAAACATATCACACTCTGTATTTCCCATATTTCCCCCAGTGCCCACTGGGGTTCAGCATTAGACCCCTTGATGCTAAACCAGCTAAGCCCTAAACCAGCCTAGACCTAAACTCCAAGCACCCTAAATTATGAAATCCTAAGCACTAGACCAAACAAAGCATAAGGTTGTCGATTTCTTCTGCTCTGCACCTGGCAACCACAATCCAACACGCAGACTACCAATGAGCAGAAGCTTACTAGGAGATGTTCTAGTCCGAGTAAGATTATGTCTTCTATTTGGTTCCGTTACGTCCTGAGACAGATACAATCCTGCCTACTTAAGTCACTTCGTATCGTTCATCCATGAATCCTCCTGTCCTCAAAGTCCACTACCTGGACCCCAAAGTATGTACAATACTGGCCTTTATGGCTGTTATTCTGGGTTTAGGGCTATTATTTTACATACTTCTTGGGGGTTTAGGTAGGTCTTACACTAGCACGCGAGCTTGGTTCTGAGGCTGTGGCACGTTCTGATCTATGCTGCTGTCGCCGCCTACTCTGAAGCAACTTTGCTTTAAGATATGCGGGTGGTGGTCAAAGTTACTTACTGCCCCTTTTGGGGTACCTTACATATCAGGTGCAGTGCCGTACTATAATAGGGATCCAAAAAGGGACCATAATTTTCACAACCACCCATGTGAGGGTTTGCAGAAACTTAATGCCGAACTTCCTCAAGTTGTTCAGAAACGTGTAGAGTTTCCGAAGTAGGGTCCTTCCGCAAGATTATCGCAATCTGTGCCCTTGCATTGGTATTCCCATGATAGGGCGGGCTGGCGCCCATCCCCCCCAGGTTGGTAGCAGTATTCCTGCAAGCTTCCAAAGATAGACTTACTCGAACGATGAGTAGCTTGCAGAGGAGCAGCAGCATGGTTTTCATCCTTGTGCTAAGGATTGTATGTAGTGTTCCTTCGCAGTGATGATGGAAGATGTATCTTTGGGCTTGCCTCGGGGGACCGTGTCCCACCCCCTCCTCCCGCTGTATGTACCCTAATCGATATACTTATCATATTATCCCCGTTATGACCCACTTTTAACCCAACTTCTAACAAGGTGGCCTCTACCTGCAAGGTATCTTATCACGCAACTTGTAACTGGGTGGCCTCTACCTGCTTGCTGTGGGCTTGCTCCGAATGATGGTCCCCCCTGTTCCTGTCGCAAGATGCCTAGCAGAGAGAACAGGTTGATAGACCTTGTTTATGGCTTACGCAAAACCTAGGACCTGGACCCCTGACAAAGGGTACAGACACCAAGACACTAGGTCATTAGGTACACCACCCCCTTGTTTTGGGCGTGCAGCGGTTACATTTTGTAACCCAAAACTCCCAATGTCCCCATACATCTTTGCAACTATCGCCTATAATGGCCTATAAGCCTCACCCTACACCCTAGACCCTGCTCTAGAAAGGTCTTTAGAAGATTACCACCACAGCAGCAGGCGTCAACAATGACCACCTAGGACAGCGAGGTTGCAGTAATTCCCCCCTCTCTCTAAGAATATAAGGTTTAAGTCAAGGGTCAAGGGTCAGCGGTTTTTAGGGTTTAGGGTTAAGGGTTTAGGGTTTAGGGTTGAGGGACTTAAGGTTGAGCTTAGGGGTTTGGATGTTTAGGTCCAGGGGTGTCTGAAATTATTTCCCACCGAATCTAGTACCATTACATGTTACAAGAAATGTTTCTTACTTGGGGGCCAGGGGGGGGACTATATTCCTAGACCCTCCTCCTAGCCTCTATTTGGGCCTAAGTACCCACGATTAGGGACCATAAATCCCCAATTAAGGGTACAAGGAGGGTCCTGGTTATTGGAGATGTGGTCAGAAGGATCTCGAAAGTCTAAAGTCCGAGGAATTCTCCTGGGATGGATGGCTGGGGGTTTGAGGTTTGAAATTTTAGGGTTTAGGGTTTTAGGGTTTAGGGTTTAGGGTCTACTTACAGGAGCCTAGGCCCTTAAAATGATAAAGAAGGTAAGGATACCAAAATAGCACCGCAGGTACAAATCCAGTTTTTGGACAACAAGTCCAGCCGCGCAGCTGAGTGGCCAGGTCCATGCCCGTTCGGACGCATCCTCCCCGGCTCTCGGCCAAGATGCGGTGAGCCGACAGTTGACGGAACAAGCGCGAGAGACGACATGCTCAAGCTAAGGTCGTTGATGCCATGTTGTGCCAAATGACGCGCCCTGCGGAATGCTGGGCTGCGGATGAGTCGTGAGATGATACAAGTAAGATGCAAGCACGCACATCGATTTAGGGTTTAGGAAGTTTGGGTTTTCGGATTTAGGGTTTAGGAATCAGGGCTTAAGGTCTAGAGTTTAGTGGTCTCTGCTAGGCACTTTGCCATGCGCTGTTGTGTGCGAGGGTGCGCTGATGTTCAGCGACACCTCAAGCGGAAGTCAAAACTGTGTTCTTGCTACAGCCTGCCAAGCCTAAACGTTAAACATTCAAAGTACATGGAGCGTTTTCTTAGGTGTGCCTGGTAGTTGGGCTTGCCGAGCCTCCAACCCCTACAGCTTTAGCCTGACAGCTTGCACCCAAAGCCTGAAGATCCTACACCCCACTTGGAGGATCTTTGGACTTAGTAAGTCTACCTACAATCCCTAATAACCCCTACCACAAGCCCCATAATCCAAATTACTACGTAGACTTACTAAGTCAAGGGATCATCCAAGCAAGCTCTATAAATCCCAGACTCAGATTCTGAGCCTAAGCCCTAGGAGCCTAACCCCTACGACTCTACACTTTTCGGCCCCAACCCTAGTTTAGGGTTTAGGGTTAAAACGCTAAACCCTAAAGCAGCACCCGGCCAAGGCTTTGGTGACGGTTTTCGCGCTGACAGCTTCGGCGTCCTTCTGCGTGTGAACTGCGTGCTTCCGAAAAGAACGGTGTATGCCTACGTTTAGGGTTTAGGGTTTATAGTGTCAAACTGGTGTGGCCTTGCATATATAAATATCTTCCCGTATCCAAGGGCTCCAAAAGCGTAGGGTTTGAGGGCAAGGGGCTGGATCTGAGAAATTTAGAGATCCCGCTTACCCGGCTTGGGGGTGTTCTAAGAACTAGGGGGACCCATCGTGCGATAATCCCCTACGTGTGGAACATATGAGCCCTAGACTCTACCCAGACCCTCCTACGTAGTTCCTTTTTGGGTAGTATATCCAAATCCCTTACCAAAAAACCATAACAAACCCAAAAAGGAACTACATAAGAGCCCTTGGGTAGACTCCTGTGCTTGCTCCTAGCCGACACTGTCCACGGCTCCGAGGCCCTGATCAGGTAGATCCCCCCCAAAACCGCGAGACAGACCCTCTAAGCTATCTCCATCAAATAAGAGTATCTAGACATACCAAGAGTATGATATATACATATATATATACACCCTACATATATATATATATCCACGTATACACACACACACATGCATGCATGCAGGCATGTATGCATGCATACTTACTTACATACATATACATTTACGTATACATAGACTTAGACATACACACACATATGTACATACATATATATGTATATATGTATGTATGTATGTATGTATGTATGTATGCATGGAAATATAGAGTTCAGGGTATCTCTTGGACAGGCCCTTCAAGTAACCTCTAGATTGCCTTCTAAGTACCCTCTAAGTGTCCTTCTTAAGGGGTCAGTCCCGTCTGGGATTCCGTAGGACTATCCGCAGGGCCCAAGCGCCGTAGAGTCAACCCTAAACCCTAAACCTTAGCCCCTAAACGCTAAACCCTAAACCCTAAACCCTGATTTCCCAACACGGTGCATGTGAGCTATGGCTGCGACATTTGCGTCTGCGGAGCCAGTACGAAAACTCCTGATTTGGGATTATGCCGCTCGGTTTAGGATGCAGGCTCGAGGGTTAGGCCCTAGACCCTGAACCCTAACTGGTAGTTTCCATGTTATGGTCCATTATCCCTACATAACCCCAATAAGCCAGAGGATACTTTAGCCAAAGGCCTCCTGAGTTGCATAAAGTTGGGTTGCCATGCTCTTGCATGCTCCCAGGATAGGGTTCAGGGTTTAGGGTTAGTCCCAGGAATATTTTGTACGCATTATGGATCATAATCCCCACATATACATCGCAAAAGAAGTAAATCGTTTATACGGCCCGTAAATATATCCCAGTACTACGAACGAGCATACATTGTTTCTTGTGGTGTCCGCTGTGCAGGTGCTTTTGAGGTTTAGGGCCCCGGGGTGGTAATTAGAGGCTACGAGGTGAAGTTAAAGGGAATGTAAAGTATTCCGCAATTGAGGATTCAGGATCTGTGTAAGCCCCCCCAAGCTTAATCCAGTATATGCTAAACCTTAAGCCCCTCAAGCCTAAATCCTCTACCCTGAAACTCTCCTAAGCCCTAAACGGTAAATCGACCTAAGACCGACATCCTAACCCCCGAACGCTATACACCCCTAAACCCCAACCCTAAACGTTGATTATCTTTTGTTATGGTTTAGGGTTTTGGTGCACGTTTATGGCATGTGTTTCTGGCTTTGCTATAACGGGTATCCATTCTCGCAAGGAGGTTGGATTTTGCCAGCAGGATTTGGCGAACTCCCATTTGAGTCCAGGTAGGGTACTTTTTCATGCGTTGCTTTGATGACAAACTGCCCCTAATCTTGAAACCATGACACCCCAAACCCTATAGTCCCCCTTAAGTAGATAGAATATGGAGTATATGGGGATCTCATTATAATATACTCAAAGCCATATTCTATCTACTGAAGGGGCCTATAAGCCCTGAAGTCTACAGCCTGCAACCTTACACCCCAGGCGCCATGTCTACATTCTTATCCTAGAAAAACGAAAGTCTAGACCCTTGACCCCAATTGCCAATAACCCAAACCCTAAACTTCACCTAGACCCCCAAGTACCCTCTATAGACCCTAAGTATCCCCAAATAGAAGCTACATAGACCCTATTTTAGGGTACTTGGGGGGGGTGCCCTAAACCCTAAACCCCAAGCCCTGAACCCTACACCCTAAACCCTGAACCCTAAACACTGAACCCTACACCCTAAACCCTAAACCCCAAACCCTAAACCCTTCAAGATCCGAAACTTTGGTCCAGGATTGGAGCTTGATCAATGCGAACTCCGCCGCTTGGTGGGCAGACCAGGCAGTCATCATCGGATCGCTGAAGACCTAATTTGCGGTTTAGGGCTTAGGGCTTAGGGTTTAGGGTTTAGGGTTCCTAGGGTAATGTGGGCTAAGAAATTTACGGTTTAGGGTTTAGTTTAGGGCAGAGAGATCAGGGTTTAGGGGGCCCTGCCCCTAATACCTCAGCAGGTGGCTCAAATCAATTAGGTAGGAATTATGTTGGCTCCCTTTCAGGAGGAGTCCAGGCTAAGGTACTACGTATGGTCCCCTCACAACCCTTCTGCAACCATAGCATTAGATGCACCCAAGCCCTGTTCTTCCTGAACAGGCCCTACGTTACCGGCCCTAAAACGTAAACCGCGTACCTGTTTGTGTCCTGGGTATCAGGCAATTATGGTAGTTTCCCAAAATTAGGGTACCCCAATATAGACCCCAATATACTATAGTCCTTATTATAAGTGCTGCAATAAGGACCCCCAAAAAGGTACCCCTAATTTTGGAAAACCCCCTTATGGCTAGGGTTCATTCATGTCCCTACTGGGTTTCCGACCTTGTACCAACTCTCCAGCCCCTTAAAAGACAGCTTGCCATTCGGTGCCGGCAGCCTGTGCGGGCATGCCTTCTCCAAGCGCAACAGCTAGAGAGTATGTAGGGATTCTACAGGGGTTATAAGGATAATGGAAAAGAAAATGGAAACTACAACATCATAATCGGATGTATACTGGGATTTATAGTAGGGAATAAGGGAATATGTTCTATTGGGATGATCTATAGATCGTCCAGGAGACTACCCACAGGAATGCTCATGCAAAGTTTACAGCCCGAAGGACACATGGCGGAGAGAATCCAGGCAGCTTGAGCCGACGCTAACATACTTTGACAAACTCCCATCGAGCACCTGTTCCAGGTTTTGCCGCTTTTGATGGGCATGCTTGAGAACAATATGCATGGGGGTCACACAACAACTACATACTATTGCGCCAGATGTTTACACAGATTCTTGGCCCTATGCAAAATGCAATACTGATGCTTGGACCGGTGACCCCCAAGTCCTGGCTTACATGTAAGTTTTGTGCCGTACAAAGCCGTCCAAGGACACGTTCGTGGTGGCACCTTGGACGCAATGGCCGCGGAGAGCAATTAGGGTTCTGCGACAACAACCTATACCGTACGAGTTGATTTCTGTAGAAGCATGAATATTTACGTCAATACCTAATAAACTTACATAGCAAAGCTACTCTAGAAATTATCCCCCCAAAGCCTGTTTTGCTCCTACGCTACAATCCACCAAGCAGTGCCGTAGCTCGCTTTGTAAGTGATACTTACAGCCAAGCAGTATACTGATGCGGCCATCTGTTGCTAGTTTAAGATTTGGGGTTCAGATTGTGGGTTCAGATTTAGGGTTTTAGGGTTTAAAGCCTCACCGGAGAACCGAGACGTTGCCGCCTGTCCCGCTCTTGCCTACATCTGCAATTCCTAAACGCCGACCCCTAACCCAAGCACCCATGTCCCTTCAACTGCAAAGACACTGGCTTTTCCCTCAATCCAAACACCCAAAGGTCCTTCACGCCCACGCAATGAGCGCCCTTCAAACCCTATACCCCTAAATCCTCAAATCACTGCCCCAAATTCCCTAAACTATAGGCGCCAAGCCGAAAAAACCCCAAACCCGCCCTAGAATAGCGGTAAGCAGGGTTTTGCACCTGACGCGTGTACATCTCCCTAGCGATGCACCCCCCACCACCCCCCCCCCAACAATAAGTGAGCCAGAATCGAAAGTCCTTTAAGGGGTTATACAAGGCATTATGTAGGGGACTACTGTAGGATACTGTAGGATACTATAGGGGGTATGAAGGTGGATGCTAGGAGTTTAGACTATGGCTCAAGTATTCCCCCAAGTAGATGATGATACTAGGTTGGGGTTACTCATTATTTATGGGATATTTATGAGATGTGGGGAGCTATTTCATGGATTCCCCTACTACACTACCCTACCCCCATGCAACCCCCGAGTTGAACTAATGTTGACTTGAATCTCTATAAACGGGGGAACCTGGCGGGGTGGTAACGAGGGGGTAGTAAGGGATCCCATTCAGAGCCCCGGTAAGGGGGCCGGTTTAACGGCCCTTAAGCACAAGAGCGAGCAATCGCGCACAAACGAGAGCAATTGTGCGCAATTGCGCCCTTTTTCCAATGACGACTCTACTGCATATGCGTTTGTTCGAGACTGGGCTGGCCCATGGTTTGCAGCCCAGGTTTCGGCTCATGATGTCTTTCAAGGCTTGCAGTTTGACTTGTCCAACAACCATCCATGTCCATGTGAAGGCAGTATCGTGGCGCGCCGCAGGCAAGCGCAAATGCGCACGCGGCTACAGCGCATCGCGCGCAATCCGT